TGTTATGAAATTATCTAAGTTTCAGCTTTTTAATCAATGTCAGAGGCCTTTCTTACAGTTTGGCAGCCAAAAGCCTGGCTTACACTTTTGGCAGACTCTTGCTATTTGTGTCATAGCAGACAGTCTATACTGAACAGCATGGATGTGCAGATTTCCCCTCATACACCTATCAAAATAGAGCAAAGTTCTTTGAATCCTAAGGTATTTGCATTCTCTATATGCATTTGTATGGTAACTATGCACTTTTCTATGTTCTATTGAAAATGCTCACATTTGGCTACTGAAGATAGACACCCTGAAACATGATTTAGATGGCAAGTCTGAAATATATCAGAAAATGCAAAAGCTCTATGTATTTCTCCTAGCACAATAGTTAAAGTTCTGACAAATTTTAGCAAAATCATATCCCTCCAGTCAATCATATATTCTGTGCAGGAATTCAGCCATGATTGTAAGGTGCATCTCTCAGGACTAGTACACTAGCAAGCTAAATTTGCCTGAAATTCAAATACATAACACATAAGGCTTTTTTTCCCAGCTGAGTTTAACAGCCACACAGAGGAGCACCCATGCCCCCATGTTTCATCTGAAACTCACCTCAAGAGTCTAACAGGCAGAATGCAGATGTATGCACCAGACAGTGAAATGTAAAAATGTAAATGTAAAGATTCTGTGAGCTAGTTTTGCAACTGACTTTTGAATTTTTTTTATTAAGTTAACCTGAGCTATTCTCTCCTGCTATTGCATCGAGATTTTCTTTTCCTAATGCCTTCTATAAGCTTCTAGTCATATAGTACCACTTTTAACAAAAAAAATCCAAACAAAATCTTCCATCTGTAGTTATGCTAAAGTTTATTGTTGTAAACAAGGTCACCAATAATAGGTACAACTGCTGTCTCTCTTTAAAAGGTGGTGGTAGAAACAAGTAATTGCCTTTAAGAAATCAATTATCTGAAAAAAAGGCTCTTCTACCTAAGACATATATATACTAAGAAACATCTCAGAGTCTGAATTAAGAAGACAGGGAAGATTCATAAGTCTCATTAAGAGAAACATCACAGAAATAAGCACCAGACAGCCATAAAAGACAAACTGTTAATTGTCTCTCTCAGTGTAGGCCTTTGTATGCACTTACTGCTATTCTTGTTTTATAACTGCTCTAGTTAATGGACAAATCAATTATGTAATTGTTGGCACAGGGAAGGATCCTTACAAGTTTCATCTGCCTAGATTTATTTGCTGAAGTGACCCTAAACTCACTTGAATAAGCTAGCAGCCTCATCATCAAAATTTCAAGACAACAAATCAGAATACTGCTGTTTGGGATGCAAATATATATTTAGGTTGCTATTTCTCTACTTAAGTGTTGATTGTTTTCATTTTTCAGGTATGCTGACAGTGTCAAGAATCAGACTGGGGATGTTAATCATCACCAAAATGCCACCAGGTTCACTGCTGCTTCCTTCTCTGAATGTCAATGACAAATGCTTAAAATCACACTGACTAACATGTGCAAGAGAAATAGGCAAAAGATGCCAGTTGGGTTCACAGAGCATAGTCCACATAGTCCACATAGTCCATCTCATCCTTTAAGCACCATAACTTGGGTGGAAAACAAGCAGTAAAACAGAAGTCATGTAGCTAAGTACCTCCAACAACCATCTCTGAATTGCTGCTTTCCTTGAGGATGTTTCTCACCAGACTGCAAGTGGATTAAATCCTAGAAGCACAGTGTAAAAAGAAAAACAGAAGAATGAAATCCAGGACTCCTGGATTTCAAGAGAGACTCACCTGCCTACTTGATAATGCTGTACCTCCTGCAACATGCCAAGTTTTCAACTGTGCCTGTAAATATTTCAAAGTTTGGGATATGGTTTTAGTTCCCTAATAACACGTGAGGATTTCTTGATACAGATATTCGCACCTGTGTTAAATTGTGGCATTGTCGGCCTAATAACAAGTTGAACTCAGAAGGGCTCAGTTCTGTTTTCAGACAGCATTTTTTATAATCTAAGGTTTTATACAGCTAGCTGCTGAACTAATGACTCACAACCACCCCTTTTAAAATAGAAGAAAAAAACCAAAGACAAAGCTAGCAGTAAGTACAAGTTAATTTTATACCACCTGCTGACCCACAAGGACATGCAAGTGAGTAGCTGTTGTCCCATTTGTCCTTAGCCAAGCACAAAGCCTGAGCATGATGCTCTCCCCCTACACACGATTTCCAGAAGTTAAACTCCAAAATGAGAGCTGGACGCTAATCTCTCAGCAGAGGCTGGAGACCAAAAGCAGACACATTTCATCTGTGCTGTTTCTGAGGAGACAGCATCAAGCATCCTCACACAGCCCAGATACATGCTCTGAAAGGGGAGGGAGGAGGAGAAAGGAAGCCCTTGCAGCCACTGTGAGCTGGAGATCCCTCAACTCCTCTCCCAGACCACTCACTCTGAGTTCCCACAGCATCACAGACATTTACAGGACTAGGAAAGTCACTCCTGGTCCTGAGGCATGCTGGAGATTTCAAAATACTCCAGTAAAAAATTTTAGTTTTAACAAGAAGTAAGTTCAAGTGCAAATTGAGACTCTGACACAGGTTTTATAGAAAATATTAATACAGCATGTTTTTAAAACCTAAATAGCCCCTTAAAAGACTTGGATTGAAAAATAAAAGCTGCTAAAACATTCTGTTTGAAAGCAAGAGTAAAAAAGGAGAATAGGGTATTCTGCCAAACCGAGATCTTGTAACCTTCTCTTCCTTTCATTTACTCCTTATTACCTTACTTGTTGTTCTATTAGACATATCATAGTCACACAGATGTAGCACTAATCACAGCGTAGGAGTTACCAGCTGCCTGGGAGGATTAAGCTACTCTGACTTTATCCCAACAGGTACCAAACAGTGACTCAGGAGAGACAGCCATTTAGCTGACCCCTTTATAAAGAAACAGGTGCCATCCGAGCATGCTGAGAAATCCTTTCTGGTACAGTCAGTTCCCTCTCAACAGTTGACAATTTAAGGTGAAAAAAAAAATAGCAACATCTTTCATTTTGCACACTGAGGTTAGGCAAAAAGTGCTGAGGCTTCTCATGAGTGTTGCTTGCTGAAAATTATTACGGCTTAGCATGTTACCCCAGTAAAAAAAAAGTCTATATTAAATAAATAAAATAAAAAAATAAGGATGATTGGGGGGCATCAATTGTACTTTATGTTTCAGATTTGATTTTAATCTAAGATCTACACTTGAAGATACTTCTGCCAAAAAGTTTGGGCACAGGCAAAGAATAATCAAAATTCTTCCCTTGAAAACATTTCAAATTTTGAAGTAAGCCTGAGGGGTAAACCTTTGACAGCTTTTGAAAACTTGAGACTGGTACATGTTTCCACAGGACAGCACACAAGAGAGAAAAATTTGAATTAAGTCAGGACAGAGAGAATTGGGACACATAGCAGGAAGTAAATACACCAATGATGCCACAAATTTCTTCTGGACCCACATAGAAAGACGGCATTAGCCATGCCCTACTGCATGTCCTGTGCCCATCCCAGAGCTGTAAGATCTGAAAGGGATCACGGAGAAGCTGCCCTACCTCAACCTCTCATGCCTTCTGAGCCTTGGGGCACAAGAAACCTGTCTCACCACAGTGGGCACAGAAGGGGATCTGTACTGTCACCCCTGTTGGGAGGGAAGGGTTAAAAGTGGAAGAATGGTGAGGAGGATGGTAGATTTGCTCAAGTGACCATGCAGCTGGAAATACTGAGGTCTGAAAAATATCAGTGTGGGTAACTTCATATATTATGCCTACTGCTGTTTATCCTCGGTCAGTTTTGTGAAGTAGAATCTCTGTGTAGAGATAACAGAGGTGTTTACAGAAACTTGGAGGCACTCTCACAGACATGCTTGAGCTCCTTGTTTTGGGAGAGAGATCAAAGCTCAGAGATCATAAAAAACATAAGGGAGATCACAGCATGGTGGTAAATTACACGTGTATGGGCCCTTGATAAATGGGTGCAAACAGCAGACCTGCAGCCCACCAGGATGGACTGAGCCTGATGGTGCTGCGTTCCCTCTTATGTGTCCAGGTGTTGCTGTGGGATCCTCCAGTTAGAGAGGTAATGAAACAAATTTACTCTTTGTGTTTCACTCATGGTTTTGTGGCTGTTCCAGCTGCCTGTCTGTGTCAATTCACACCCCCCCACCGCAGATCCCAAACATGTTATGGCCCGTGTTTGACTTTGGCTGAGTACCATGGCTCCACAACAACATGCCAGTCCCACTGCCCTGCTCTCCACTCCCCATGCTTCGCTCAGAGAATATGTCTCCTTCCTCCTCTGCTGTCGCCACCCCACACTCCTCGCTCTCCACCACTTCCATTTCAAGCTGGAGCAAAGTGTGGCTGTGCAAGCTGCACCTGGCAACAGGTGCCAGGAGGACCACAAATCTTCATGCCACCAGAAATGAAGATTCCACCTCATTCAAATGAGTCTGTGTGTCATGGTGAATTTTGCATCCATTAGCAAGAATTTCAGCTTCAAATCATATCTTAAGACTTCTACTCACGGTTTCTTATGTCTTGGTCACTCACACTACAGACCCCTGTAATGTCAGTGACATCAGATGCATGAACAACTCTCCTAAAGGTATGCAAGAAATTCAAGGAATGAAGTCTAAACTTTCTCATCCTCCTGTGATTCTCATTTCATAGACTCAGAAACATCACAAGCCTCCTTTACGCTCTTAAATATTAACACAGCTATTCTCTTGATGTGAGATTCCTCATTATCATATGAATAAATGATTAATTGTCACCATACCAAGCAAGTGCAACTTTTATAATCCTATGAATCAGCACTGTGCCAAACCCTTCAAGAACAATAAGTGTTCAAGCATGTATTGCACTTTATTGCTTCCTTGATCGTTTAAAAGGACTCTCTGGCAAACAACCATTTACACAGTCTTGAAAGTTTACTGTCAATGTACTGAGCAGTTCTGTACTTCAAAATGCAGACATACCTTCTTTCCCAGCTATTTAATGGTAGCTCTTTGGCAGAAGACTTCACAACTTGTCCAGAAAATGCTACTATTTGTGATGGGACATCTTGTGTATTACCAGAAGATAATTTTAATCAAACTTTGAGCGTAGTTTTAAGTACTGTTCTAACAATTATGCTGGCTTTGGTGATGTTCTCCATGGGCTGCAATGTGGTACTTAAGAATTTCTTGCACCACATAAAAAGACCCTGGGGTATTTTTGTCGGTTTCCTTTGCCAGTTTGGAATTATGCCTCTCACAGCCTTCTTGCTATCTTTGGCCTTTAACGTCCTTCCTATTCAAGCTGTTGTGGTGCTGATCATGGGATGCTGTCCAGGAGGCACAGCCTCCAATGTCATTTGCTATTGGGTGGATGGAGACATGGACCTAAGGTAAGAGCAACCATTCTCTAAGTACTTCATGTGGCTCCTTACATTGTAAAGTCTGTCTTGAAAAGGACTGTCTCACCTGTCTGAATTTTTTCTTAGCCTCCTGGCACATGCATTGTAGAGGTTCTTCTTGTAAAGATGCTTAGTTACTGTAATAGCAGTAAATAAAAGCAGAATAACAAATATCCTTGGGAATATTTGTTCATTGGGAATTCATGCAGAACATATCACAACAGAATTGTGTACATTAGAAAATGTCTTTATTGTAAAACTTCAGATCCTGCAGCAAATATCCTTTATGAAGACAGCTAAGACTAAAGATTATGAAAACTTTGCCCAAGTTAGAACTATTATTTTTCTTCCAAATAAAAAAAAATAATAATAACATAGAATTTAGGATAAGAATCCTCTGTACAAAATAGTGGTTATGTAATTGTTCTCAGAAAAAGAGTACCTGTGGAAAAATATTATCCCTCCTTTTGTGTTCTACACAATAAAAAGACAGGTATTGATTTTCTCTTTGGGAAGTAATACAAATGAATACCACTTGTGATAATTCTATCTGCTCCTTGAACTTTATGCAAAGTCTTCGAACTGAAGGAATATTTTACAGGCTAGAAGCCACTACATAAGGCAATCCTGCATACTGGGGGCAATGAAAAAACTCCTTTGTGGCAAAGTGTGATGATCTGAATGAAAGGGTGCTCTGAACTCGGAAGCAGATATGTAAGGCACCTAATCTGGCCTAGGACACCAAACACACAGGAAAATTAACCCTAGTCTTGACGAAAATTCCATGGGGGGTTCATTAACTCTAAGAGCCTTTAAAAATGAGCCATCTTTTTATTTTTATATCCCGATTACTTTTCTCTAAAATAAACATAATCATTTCTCTCTTTCCCACAGAGTAACACAAATTGGAACATTCATCCCATTTATCATGTACCAGTCTGAACTAGAAATGGAAAAAATAATAGAAGTAAGAAAGATGTGGAACTAGAGCAAATAGGCTAAGAATGTTAATGTTTGTAGCTTTAATACGACATTTTTCCATCCTTTGAAAATAGTGAGCTTTTCTGTCACATACAGGTGTTAATGTAATACCAGCTTTCAAATTATGTATGAGGTCAGCTCTGCTAATCATCAACTTCCTCACTGTAGAGGAAAGACCTATGATATTAAGAATCTGTAAGACACTTAATTTCAATTAATACAGGTCTAATAAACCACAGATGGAAAGATATCCAATACGAGTCTGAAATTCTGTTCCAGTCTCTCCTCAGACGAATACACTGAGCTAAACTATGCTTTCTCAGCTCAGTATTGTTCAGAGCTGCACCACTAAAATCTGTGGTAAAAATCCAAATTGATAATGCTATAAATATGAGTAGGGTTTCTATCCCATAATGCTGGCAGAAGGTGAAGTAAATTGGAAATGCCTTTAAAAGGTTATTCTTCAGGTAAAGACCTTTATCTTAAGAAGTCAAAACCTTTTGGTCAGTACCTTTGTGACAAAGTTTCAGGGACCAGAGGGTATAAGAGGTAAGCAGATTGTCAACCTAAGCATCTTCTGTTCTCTATAGAATAGCACTAGAAGTAGTGTGGCTGGTTTCTGGAACCACTACAGTATTACAGAAAGCCTGCCCATCATATCAGACAAGGTTTTGTTTTTAACTGGTAATATTTTATGTTTACACATTAAAATCCATGACTACTGTCTACATCCTGCTTCAAAACATCACTGTGCAAATAGACCAGAAGTTAGAGCAGGAATTAGTTTTATAATTGCTATTACAATCACAGTGAGGTGAAGTATGATGTTTCATACCTTTCTTAGTAACTCGCAAGCAGCTGATATCCTCTAATGCTTCCCATAGAAACATCTTTTGATATTTCACAAGAACAACTGCTTCTGTGAGCACAGGGACTGGGGTTAGAGGATATCCAGACTTTGGAGAAAGATGTACATTCAGGGATAGTATAAAGATGTAGAAAACAGAGAGGTAGGAAAAATAAGATTTTTTATCCATTTGGGACTTCATCAGACCTGAATTGTAGACCATGACTCTTTTTCTCTGTAAGAAATTTTTGTAAGAACTCTCTTGCCAGAGGCTTCTGCAAAATTCTTTTCAATTACTCTAAAGAAGAGAGTGACAGGAACCAAAATTAATACAAATATTCCTGTGGTTTCTGTATTAATTGTTCTATATTTCCCTGGATCTGCTCAGTTGTGGGTCAGGGTCAATAGTCCCTTTTCTGAGGACAAGCAGCACAAAAGAGAAATCAGAAGTGAGGCTCAGAAGGAAACTTCCAAAGGCTCTTAACTAGAACCCTCTCTCAGTATTTTTATGCCAGAAAAGTGATTTGTAGGCATAATTTTTATCCATTCTATTCAGATTGTGACAGTTTCCTCCTTACTTTGGATGTCTTACCTTTTCCTCTTTCTTCATTCTGTAGCAGAATGCATATTTTTGTACAAGGTGTTTCAGAAAATAGAAATATCTTTGCATAAAGGAGGAAACAATACTTTGCTAAGCTTCACTGAGCAGTTCTCAGCACCTATTCTTTGGCCTACAGCAAAACAAGCCAGAAAAGGGAATTTTATTGCATCAAACATCCTAGACAATGAAATATTTTTTTATGCTCTTGAATTCAGAGTGAAATTTGAACACTCTAGAACTGTTGGTGTAATGGAAAGCTCCATTTGATGTTCATCTCCCCCCTGTGCAGCTTGCCGTCCTCTCAGAAACCAGCCAGACAGGCAGCATGCAGACAGACTTGCCAACAGACCTTCCCACTGACCACCTATCTGACTGACTCATTTGTACCAAAATTATGGTTCTGTGGTTGCAGAACACCTTGATATTTCATGCTCCTTTCTTTTCAGCAGAAGTCATTCCTTTCATTTGTCTTCTTTCTAATCTGATATACAGGATAAATTGACTGCAGCCAGCAGCAATCCTTACCCAATCATTCGAGAGGTGTGAGGTGGTAATAAGAAAATGAGAAAGACTATGGGCTAGCATGAGATGAACCGTCACTGTAACCAATTTCTTTGCAGCATCAGCATGACAACTTGCTCCACACTGCTTGCAATGGGAATGATGCCACTTTGCCTCTTTATTTACACCAAGATGTGGACTGATTCTGATGCAATTGTACTCCCCTATAGCAACATTGGTGAGTCCAGTGGACCAGCTGCCCTTCTGACTGTCTATCCTCCCTCCAGTGACAACTACCTTTATATCATCATCCTGCAGACTTAGGAAGATATCACATCAAATTTTTTAAAATATTTGTCTTCCTACTTTCTAATAACCTTCATGGGACTTAGGTACCAGAAATCACTTCCCATCATCCACAAGACTTGAAATCATTATAAATATTGTACAGATATTTATCACAAGATTGTGCATGTTTTTCTTTCCAAATGACTTTGAGACCTGCGTGATATTGGAATAAGAATATAGAATAATTCGTATAGGAATAGTTGCTTCTTCTGGATGAAAGTGTTTGTAACAGCTTTAAGACACAATCCTGCGAAGCGCTAAATGCTGAGGCCATAATCTGGCAAAATACTTAAGCACACATGGATAATTAAGCAAGTGATTAAAACTACTGAGTCTCTTTGAAAAGCTGCAATCTACACTGCCAGGAGTGGCTTCATTTGACTTCCTGTCAAAAATCTCATCCAGCTACAAAGAGAAAATAGTTAAGGTATTTAGAAATACATGCTCCAGTGATTTGCAAAGCTGTGGCCCTAGTGCTTATCAAGTGCAGTTCCATGTTGTGCTAATCTTAAAAGCCAGAAGAATCACTTTCATATTCTTCAATTTCATTTCCCATTGTTCCTGGGGGAAAAAAAATCACATACTTTGCTTGTGCTTTCAAAATAAATACTGGAGGGGCAAGGTCAAAACAAAAGAAGCTCTAAACCGGGTGTTGATATGGTGCGGTAGAGAAGCACCTGCAGACAAAATGAACAGTTAAAATAGCTACTCACATCACAGGATAGTGATGATTAGCACACTCAGATTTCTGTTTGCCTTTCTGATGCAGGTGAATAAGCATGTAGCTCGGCAGAATGGCAATTACTTTAACAGGCTGCCAAAGATAACAGACTCTATAGCAAAGCAAATGGGCAGGTGCAGGTAGAGTGTGCATGCATGGTCTGGGATGTGCATATCAGAAACATCCTCTGAAAGCTTGCTTGCTACATACCCTCAGCCACACCACATGGTGTCTGTCCTGTCATGAGCTTCTGCACCATACAAGGGCTTAATTTCTCTTTTATTTTTTACAGGAACTTCTCTGCTAGCTCTCGTAATTCCTGTTTCCCTTGGAATATTTGTTAACCACAAATGGCCTAGTAAAGCAAAAATTATACTTAAGGTAAGAGACATATATAAGGCTGAAGCATAAGCAATTATGGGCAAATTATGGAATCAGTGGCACCACTGAAGCAGTACTTTGCTATTCATAGTATTAGTATCTGACTTTATAAGAATCAGGAAGTTTTCAGCAGAAAACAAATGAGTCATTGTGGAAATATATTGCTTTCCCCCTGCACAAACATGCATGAGTTGCATAGATTATTAGAAACCATCATTATCTAAAGAGCCTACTTTTGTCTTTGGCTAGTTAGTAATTGAGTTCAGTATATAATGTAAAGTGAAATTGAAAGGAAAATAATTCAGGTCATCTGGAAGAAGTTTTTCTCTGCAAAACAACAAAAAAAAATAAAACCATTCTGGATCAAAAAACCTTTATTCTTTTAAACCAGTGTGTTGATTTTTTTTGTGGTTCAATTTTGAGTGGGAAGTTAATTTTTATTAAAAAAAATAAATTGAGAATATCCCAACTCTTAAAAAAAAACCCAAATTTATTCACAAAATACAGCTATCTTTCAAGATGGTTTCAGATGCATCAAAAATATAAGGGTTTTGGCAAAAGCTGTTTAATCAGTTAAGGGAAAAACGTGGACTTGCACTCACATGAAAAGAAACTCTACTTGATCTCTCGGCAAAGCACCATTTCATCCTCTTTCTTACTGAGTAGGTGAGCAACCCATAGAATGGTCCATTGACAATTTACTTTATGTAGGATGATGAAGCACCAAGGGAAGATTGAACCATAGCTGTCAGATTAAGACTCATATAGTGAGAAATGGAGATAAGAGCACAAAGACAATGTGCCAGGTGAAATAGAGGAGCTTGTCATGGACAGATCATGTTTCTTCTTCCTAGGTGCATGCGGTTAATAGCTCAGCCAAACAAAAGCACTTGTTCACTCAGTGTTCTTAAAAAGGCTTCAGCCAAAGACTGACGAAGCCAGTAAAATGGAAATACATGTTTTAACTGAGAAATAGATTCTCCTAAGCTTAGCCTGAGAAGTCTGGCACTGGGATCCCTGGCAAGATATACCATAACAGTAGACATTTCACTTGGGTACTGAGAAGAGAATGAGTTATGACTTTTTTTTGGCAGGCAGCAGTAAAGATATCGATACACTCAGCCACGGGAAATAAGATCAACTTCAGTGATTAGGTCTATGTAGAAGTGTTATACAACCTCACAACCAGTTTTCAAGCATGAATTTTCAGCCACGTTAAAGATTTACTCCTGTGCTTGGCAAATAATTTCCTATCACTAACTAACAATCTAGCGTCTAGTTAGCATACACTGTAATAAGCCCCAGAGTGTGATTGCCCAAGGGTGGGGAGGAAAATGCATTATTCCACCTATTTGGCTATCGGTTTCCCAACAACTCTGGGGAAATTTTTCTGATATGTGCACTATTCCTCGTTTACATCACACCTGTGAAATTATTTTTAGTATCAGTTCTAAGTACAATAGCCACAGCTTCAAAACACTAGCTTTACAGGTATCTGCTATAGATAAGTATACTAGCTGTGCCTTGATCTATATCTGTAGTCACACCTTGAAGTACATCTCAAGTCTCTTGTTTGGGAAAAATGGCAGCTATCTAATCTCTCTTCCTGCTGCGAATTGCATTGCTGTAAACATTGGATTTCGTGTTTAGTAAGATGTTTCAGTGACTCAGGGACACTCACAGGCATGTTTGACACCATGTTTGTTGACATGCCATTAAATTTCACTGGGCACTCCTATTCATGCAGTCCTTCCTCTTTCCCTTCACAGGTCGGTTCCATTGTGGGAGCAATACTCATTGTGCTCATTGCTGTGGTTGGGGGAATACTCTACAAAGGTTCCTGGGTTATCACACCCAAATTATGGATCATTGGCACCATATTTCCAGCAGCTGGTTATTCTTTAGGATTTCTGTTGGCTCGCTTAGCTGGTCTGTCTTGGCACAGGTATGGAATTCTCCATGATGAAGACCTGTAGGCTTTTTTCAGCTGTGTAAAAAGTTTTTATGTAATGATTGATCAGTGCTAGGAATGTTCCCTAAACATTAGTTATGTTACAGTTACTCATTCTCCAACCCTGTTTCTGGAATAGTATGCAAAGATAAAACTTTTCTTGTTCGTGTTTATTACAGATTCTGATTATAAGATTTCCTCCAGTCCTTCATATGTCTTTCCCATGTGTGCCCCTTGTGTTACACTGCAAACAAGCAAAACAGAACTGATTTGTAAGTGGGTTGGGACTGCAGTAAAATTTCTCATGAAGACACAGCAATCTACAATTTAGAACATCATTACAAGAAAGGGAGACACTGACTGCCCCATATGGCTTGAAGGGGGATCACAGTCCTTTACAACTACTGAAATATATGATCTGGTAGTAACAGCTGTATGACTTGTGGACTGTTTTGTTGACTGTGTGAGCTGAAAGATACAATTTTCTTAGTTATCCGTTACTGCATGTTTCTTGCTTATCCAGGTTACTAAAAAGCATAAGGACCCACAGGCTGCTATTTCACAGCTGTCTTTGTATTATTTTCTTTAGATGTCGTACAGTGTCTCTGGAAACAGGCATGCAAAATACTCAGCTATGTTCAACTATAGTACAGCTCTCATTCAGTCCTGAACAACTTGAACTGATGTTTACTTTCCCACTCATCTACAGCATTTTCCAGCTGTTGTTTGCGCTGCTAATTTTAGGAGGTATAGTTACTTTCTATTATAGCACTGTAATTATTGTTATTTTGATTATCAGTTTAATTTTGTATGCATATGCAGAAAACAAGAGGGGATAAAAATAATCAAATGCAAAATACTTCAATAAATTATGACCCAAATGATTACAGGGCCCTGTACATAATCAGGAAGATACCAGGCTCAGTTCAAGATTAGAAAGGCCCTTCTTTTAGCACAAGGAAGGGGGTATCCACCACTTACAGCTGGGCATATGAGAACACTGAGCATGGGATTGTTATTACACGTGGCTGAGGAAGGTCAAATGCATCTTCTTCCACTGATCCAGGCTGTCTGTGCATACAACTACCCAGCAGGGCCATCCCCACAACCGTGCACAAACCTCCCCCCCACCAGCTGTTGAGAGAACAGGCATCAGCTTCATCAATAATGTGAGAAAATATCTTCCAATAGAGGCAAAGTCCCTTTTTCCTCCCACATACACATTTCACTGCTGCTCCTACACCTAACCTAAGAAGGGTTGGGACCTTGTTCCTGTTACTTACACATTAAACCAGCTGTGACTATCAAGTTCCCACTCCCAAACTAGCCGTCCTCTCTGCCAGGAAATGGGGTGGGGACAGATGAAGCACTTTGTCCCAGCTCTGCCAAGCAGGACTCACGTAGAGGTAAGAGTCAATTCCTCAGGCCCAGTCAAGAGCCCAAAGGCTTTCCAAGGGAGACTGGCAGTACTTTTAAAAGTCACTGCACACTACAGGAACACAAAGCAGTCAAACACCAAATGCAGAATTTAAACTGTTAAAATCTCTAAATATAGTTTTCCAGTGATGAGTGACACGAAATAATTAAACATAACTTTAAAGAAACTATCTGGATGGGTTGGAATGTTTCAGCAATATGAGGAAAGAAAATGTTGCATGGCTACATGTTACTACAGTACCTTTTTCAGGTAATTTTTGTAATTTCTATATTTAATACAAAATATATATTGATTTCCAGGGTACCGTCTTTACAGAAGATTCCATGTCAAAACAAAGACAGATGTCGAGAAAACTGAGCAAAAAGAGGATTCAACAGCAAATGCTAAAATAAATGGAGGATTTGTATCGAATGAGACCAAATAGACACTTACCTCTGCTCCCACTAACTGGAAAGATATAAAATATGTGGTTTACTTAAAACTTTTTTTTTACATGCTGTTGGTTTATGGAAATATTTAACAAAAGAGGTTCTGCTGATATTTTACAGTAAGATTTTAAAATTAACTTAAGAAAGATTTCTACTTTGATTTCAAGCATGGTTCCTGCCACAATTGTAGAATCTGGTTTTGAAGCTAATTCTTCAAAAATATGTAATGTTTTATTCTGGCTTATTTAAAGAAAGGCAGAATAAAGGTGGGTTATTGCTGAAAAACAAGCAGATGTATGTAACACCAAATCCAGCCCATGGTCCTGCAAATCCATCTGCTAGTTTCAGCCCTCACACTAAAGAAAGAGAAATCCCATGAAAGTGCCTGAGCAGCAACAGGAGTTGATGTGGAAAATCTGATAAGGCCGAATATGAATCAACCATGAAATTGGAACAAGCCAATAGTGAAATAAAAGTTTCGTTCAGGTCAGTGTGGGCAGGCTAAAGTCATTGCACCTTATTAATTGCTTGAACATTAATTTATTCTAAAGCTATAATTTTAATAAGTACGAGGTACCTCATAGCTCTTTTTTTTTCCCAAAGTAATAGAAAGTAACAGCTTTGCATCTTCAGTCTGGGTCTTTTAGGTGCTGGAAACATGAAAAGAGAGACAATGGTGAGAACATAAGCCTTGAGAAATTTTAGTGTGACAGCTGCATACAAAAGGGCAAGCAGAGATTCTGGAAGTACAAGAAATTGTCAGCTTTTGCACTAAAAGAAAGGCATTTGAAAACCAAATAAAATTGTCCCTGGTTTATCCAGGACTACTTTCACCGATCTTAACCATGAGACAGCAGTGCTTGTAAAGAGCTATATATTTTTGTTATTTTATGAACTCAATAAAATTGAACTTACCAGATGTCTGTGACATGTAGAGGCTGAGGTAGTTGATAACTTTCAGATTTTATTTATACAAGTCACTAATAGAAATAATTGGTTATACAAATATATTATTTGTCTCTGAAATTTCAAGAGTACATATAGAAACCTGTCTTAAGTGTGTGGAGAAAACAAGTATAATTCTAAGAGAAACAGTGCAGTAAATTGCAGCTGTAATTTTTTATGGATACATTCAGTAACATTAGTTCTGTATGTAAGGAAAACATCCAGAGAACTTTATATGAATCAGTGAGAGTTTGACGGACCAAAAAATTCAAGAATGAGTCAACTATTAACACACAGAAAGTATCCACCTTTCTGTCATATTCAAGTGGACCTTCCAAAATGTTGTGAGTTAATGTGGCAGGTTTTTTACAAACAAAACTGAAATTGTGGAGTTTAAGTTCCCAATGTGTAGTTTTCCACTGCTGCAGAAATGTACCCAGTATTAAACAAAGAATAAACTATTTCTATCCACCATCTGTGGGAGAAAGGATCTTGAAATGTTCCTGAGTTCTGGGAGGCGTGAAGCTGCTTTACTTTTGGGAGGGAGTTCCAAATGGTCGGACCCTCCAAGGAGGAGTTCAACACAGTGGTGTTTAGCACATAGCAAGGTATTCTATGTTTTGTGGAACAAAGATTAAACAGAACAATGTGGTGAAGACTGTTATGGAGGAATCATAAATGTGAAAGAGCATATTCATTGAGAAAAGGATAAACTGTTGTTTGTGACATCTGTTCTAAAAAGCCTATTGTCTTGATCCTTCATTCATGAAAAAATGGACAGCAGAAGTTAGTTAGGATCATGTCTTTCTTACACACCAAGCTGCTATTATTCCTCCATGATGAACTTCAATGTTTCTGTGAATATTTTAGGCAGATTTTGAAATGTATCAAAGAATAATTTTTTTGTCTTGCTTATGTTATGTGTGTGTGTATTTAATGCAACTGTATAAACATTGAACTGAATAAAGTCAGAAACTATTTATAATTTTGCCCACTGGAGTAATTTAAGGTGGAAGGAATTGAGACAAAAACCTAACATACAGACAGAGTTTATAACTTTGAGATGTAACAAAAACAACTCAGATTATGTGTGAAATGGATATGTTTAATAATCATAGAATCATAGAACAGCTTGGCTTGGAAGGGACCTTGAAAGTCATCTAGTTCAACCCCTGTGCAATAAGCAGAAATATCTTCAACTAGATCAGGTTGCTCAGAGCCTCGTCCAACCTGGCCAATCCTTTCCATGGATGAGGCATCTACACATTTTTTAATGCAGATGTGCACTCGAGGTCTCAGATGAAGAATGGAGGTTGCAGTTTTTGCAGCCATTGCAATTACATCTATCAAGGATCATATGTCCTAAGCTTTACACGAAGCAAAACCAGCTCAAAGGTCTTGCCCAACATATACCTTTAGAGCACATCAAACCTAAAACAAAATCTCAGGGCTTGTTAATATTGTGAGCAGCAGACTTATGTTGATGGGGCAACTTCTAAATCTCCAGCTGTAGAAGTCTGGACAGCATCATTATCAGATCATCACTCAAGAGGCTGTGGTGGGCCATCTCACAGCAGTGTAAGGGACTATTGGGGAAGTTGTGCTTTCTCCCCAGAGGTCTCCAGAAAGATGTTATGTGTCTTTGGCTGTCAGCTCTATAAATGCTGATATATGGGCTTCTCAGCTGAAGAAGTCTGGTGGTCCAGACTCCAGCCTTGCAGTTGCAGTTGTCCTGGTGTGGTCAAAAGGAAAACCCTGGTCTTGTTTAACCTGCTCAGGGTCATCTCCTCACACTCATCAGTGTGAAAATCCTTTCAAAGACAGGCAGTATCACTTAGTCACCACTTCTCGTTAAACAATCTTCTATCCACGGAAACAACGTATGGATGGGACACTGCAGATTGTGAAATTTAAAAGCTCATGCAGTGATGTTCAGGCTAAAAAATGTCTGTTCTAATTAACTCTTGCACATACTAGTAATCTTGAATTTATCACTTCAGACTAAGTCATACAGATGCCTTTGCAATGCTGGTTCTCAAGCTGTTGCAGTCAAAATGAGCTGAAGTATGCCTAAGGATAGACACACCTTAGAAGTTGAAATTACAGCTGAATGAAAGCCTAACTCATGCCAAGGTCTGTAGTGTAAGGCCTACAAAGATACAACAATCACACTTGCCAAGCCGATCTCTAGTCATAAATCTGGATATCAAATGTATTCTCTAGTCAGCAAAGAGAAGGAGACAGACCATCACAGAGTTAATCATGCCTACTCTCTCAGAATTGCCTGTCTTTATAAAGTAAATTTAGATGGCCTGTCTTAGATGAAATAAAAAAATTTTTAGTCTCAGATAGTAAAAAAAATTAGTTGAAATTAAATACATCTTTTTGTCTTCATTTCTTTTCTGCATAAATTTGCTGAGCAGCCAGTTTGTTTCCTTTAATGAGGAAGATAGGTTTTAGAGTTGAGAAAATGAAAACTATGCAAAATAAAGGACAGTATTATGATTCTAATCTTCTATTATATAACTTGTAATAGAACTAATTTCTCATCTGACCTAAAGACAGGTGGAAGAACTGTTTCTGTCATATAGTGTGCTATGTTAGTTGGAAAAGAACGCAATTTGAATAGAATTAACAAGCAAATTGATTTGCAATTTACATTAAATGAGTTTCTTGTTTCAAACTAATCAGGTTATGATGTTCAAAACCTACTGTTATTCTCTGCCGGTCAGTATCATTTTTGTCAGCCTCAGAAATGAACTTATTTTTTGGCAGCCCAATCAATTGACATACTGTACACTTGATGCAAATGTAAAACAATAATCAGAATTCCCTAACTCCAAAGGAACAGACTTTCACTTCTAGGTATCTGACAAGAATCTGTTCTCCACAGGTTAACTGTATTGCTTGCTCACAACCAGAATTAAAGCAAATATAGTATAACAGTCCCACAGTCAAATGGTATCTAAGCAAACCTGACTGGATTTTCCAAGCCAGAACTGAAGAGCAATAGAAGTAAATTTCTGCTTCTGTCTCCTAAGGAATATTCATTCTGCTCCAGAAGCATTAACATCTCAGTTAAGCTGAACACTAAATGAACTTAAAATACTAAATGTAAAAATAACTGTAACTTGCCAGGATATCTGCCAATCTTCAAACTGGAATTGGAGAATATGGAAAATTGAAAGTTTTGAGGGAGCTTTAATGTGTTTTCATGAATAAACATGTGCTGTGGAATGGTATAATCCTCTCCATTTAATTTCTATTAAATTTAGCCATTGAAAAGTAAGTTTCTAGTATCAGTCTTTACGCTTCCCTGAAAAGAAGTAGTCAATACTGTCAGCAGGAAAAGATAGATTTTGCTCTGGAGAGCAAGCCATTACACTCTTCAGACACCTGGTCAAGGACAGGAAGAATTCTGGAAGGAGACAAAGACATTGTAAAAAATAAATAAATAGATAGATAAATAAAGTTCCATGAGGACATTCCAAACTATGTCTATATAAACAAAGAGCATACAAAAATGTATTACTGATATCTCTACTTACTCATAATGGACGTAATATAAAATTAATTAATCAATTCCCAATTTCTCTTGAAAGATCATAAATCAGCCTTCTACCTCAGATTAGGATTGATTATGGAAAATGTGAGACTTTGGAAGTACCAAATTGAAATAAAGTTCACGATCTTTTGGATTTCAATTAATTGGGGATTTAGCCATGAGGACTGGACTTTTGCTTTTCCAATAACTCACCAACTGAGAAATCCTTTGCAATCACACAAATACTTTAAAACTTCAAAGAAAGGGAAAAGAAAACTCAACACTGGAGAAAACTCTTACTGACTGCAAGATGGAGTTAATCAGTTCCTTTAAGTAGTTTATCCCCTAGTTACTATATGTCTATAATAATGTTATAAAAAGGAACAATTTCTGTTCCAGGCAAACAGAATCTAATTGTTTTTCCTTAGAGCACACGAAGCTTATGCACAGTTTCTCATTCTACCGTTGTTCCTGAACATACATTAGCATCTTCATATCTTATAGATATAACTTAATTGCTACAAATGTTCTGATTAGGTCTGCTGATCAGGTATCATTAAGGTAATCTGATACATTCTTTTATATATGACTGCAGACCTTCTGTCTCCTTCTTCTGCAATGAGTTTATGTATTACTCATTTGGGAGATTTCATCACAGTTTTTAAAAGACACTTTCCCCCATATGAATTCAAAATAGAAGCAAGGAGGTCATATTGAGATGGTAAGGCCCTGTTTAAGTAATTTGATGGCACAATTAATTCCCCATAAGTGGAATTAACTGCAGGGGATTAATGAAAATGTCAGGGTTACAGGTTGTGCTGGTGATGTGTTTCTAACGTCAGTAGTAAATCTGCTGTAGGTAGAACACAAATTCTTTCCACGTAAGGCTCTTTCTTTAAAAATGTACCCTGAACTCATAAAATAAACCACAGCTGATATGGAAGAATTTTCCATAAAAGTGCACCACTGAGGAAATAGAACAAAACATACAGCTTACCTAGAAGAACATATATTTCAGTTTTAAGATATCCAATGCTTGTTTAAAAAAATTATACAATTAATGCATAATATCTAAAAAATAGTCTTAAGAAAAAAATGGAAAAAAACTGATTTGTGGGCAGCAATTATCAATTTAATATGATACTTAAGGTAAAGCTCAGATAGTCCTTTGATAGTTGTTTGCTGGAAACTGTCCATATCTCTTACACACTTTCTTTAAGCACCTTCTTGTGTCATTCCCAAGCTAACTGGTGCTCTGAGGTTCTTGTGTCTGTTTGTGCAGTCCTTTTCAGTAATCATTAAATCCAAGGAAAAACACAAGCTGTGTTTAAATATTTTCCCTATTGAAAGGGAAATGACATCTGAGCAGAAGGACAGAACTGTCTATACTGAAATGAACAATGTGGTCATAGGGGGGACAGGAGAAAATTCAGAGGAAATTATTTTATGAAGACATATCTAGCTGTCTACAGAGGGAACAGTCGTTACATTAATTACTTTCTGTCTATTCTGTACCACTTCACCCATTCTGTTGTGTTTTTCAGAATTCTTCCACAGAAACTTTCATACGCAAATAAAAACCTCCCACAGTCAGGAAGTATAAAACAGCTGGACTGTTTACAACATCAAAATCACATAGGGTATTTGGGTCATCATTGTAATATGGTCAGACTAGTCTGAAACTCAGAGAGAGTATATGCTCCTCGAGGTCTTTGCAGTCACCCAGAAACACCACAGTGCTACTAAGTGTGTAGGGTGTTCAACTGCATGAGTTGAGACTTGAGGAGCCAGAGATGGCTGAGAGAGCAAGCTGGATTCACTCAGTGGTGCCCAGAGAGCAACATTTCACTCCTTGTTCTCCAGTCATCTAGACTGCACCAGCTGTTTTAGTACCATCCATGATGGCAGACCAGAAGGATGAGGCAGTCTCACTCTCTGTGCTTACTTTCCCCACTTGGTTACTTCCAGACAAGAGCCAGACAACAAGCCAACACTCAGACTTGTGTAGGCAAGAGAATAAACTGGGCTCAGGCACAAGCCCAAGCTAAGATGACAGCAGAGATGAAAGTTTAGGCTACCCCTTTGCTAGCAAATAAAATAAACCAGGGAGCAGTCTCTGACCCAAAGCTAAGCGGCATTGTCGCTCTCACATAAACAAAGCACAGTTCTCTTTCCCCATGAGCAGAAGGGATGCATTTCCAGCTCCCTTCTGGAAATATTCCTCTTCATCAGCCCTAACCTGGCACCACTCAACAATGCCAGGTCACAAGAGCTGAAGCTGTGCCATAAAGGGTGCAAACAGTCATGAGACCATGCCCTCCCCTTGGCATATTTACCAGTGTAAATGTAACAGTACATGCCCCAAACCATTTTTTTTCTTT